CCTTCATCTGCTTTTCTCTCAAGAAGGATGGCACCATCCTTGTTCAGGCATCATCTAAGGCAGACTTTTTACCCCAGAGGAACCCTTGAAAAAATTTTCATGTATCAGGGAACTCCTGCTAAGAATAGTCCATCAAGGGTCATTAGGAAAATGCCCCTTACAGTGGTGGAAATTGGAAAGAATAGAACCCCTTACAGTTCTGATTGGAATGCCACTCTTACAGTCAGCTGAAAAGATCATTGGTGCCATGCTACTGGTTCTACCAAGTGGCAGTCAGTCTGGAACTATGAAGGCAGCATCAGATGGGAGGTCAGTTAGCCGCAGTTCAAGGAACCCCTAGCAACCTGTGGAGGAACCCTAAGGGTCCACCGAACCCTGTTGGAGATTTGCTGATCTAAGATCACCATCTACTTCCTGGACTGAGATGCTGACTTCAATATGACAGAATCATGTAAATCCTGGTGTCCATTCAATTCTTGGCTGGGTATACAAATGTCTGACTTAGATCAGCCCCTGCTGAAATCTCTCACCTTGTGACTTGTTATAAGTTGCAAAGCTTGTGGTCTAGCTTCGGGGTTATTGGGTTCTTCTTGGGCTACACTAGGCACTGTGGGTGTGGTCACTTGTTTTCAGGTGTTCTGGAACAAGGAGTTTCACCCAAATGGCATGGCTGTACACCTTGGGGCACTCTTCCGCTAACTAGTGACAAGTGATTCTCGCCTGGAAGTGGACTGGGCCTTGGGGGAAGTAAGTGTCTACATGGTGAAGGTACTTATGCCTGGTCCTCTCCATGGGTATTTCTGGAGGACTCAGGGATGCTCCAAGGAAGAGGGCACTAGGGCACACAAGGCACCAGTGATGGCTGCAGCTCCTCATCGAGTTCAAAGATTAGAGAGTTTCAGGAGAACCCCTCAGGCGAGCCTTTAAGGACAAACAGAGTCCTCTTAGGCAATGGGCAGCTCAGAAGTGGTCATTGAAGGAGGACCAGTACCGGAGAGTCCATGATGGGAGGAGGTTTCATAATGGACTAACCCAGGGTAGGTGGAGGCAGCAGTTCTTCCAGAATTGGCTCTGAAGGCTGGCTGTAAACTCCCTGAACAGGAGTAGATTTTGCAACAGGAGGACAGGACGGCAGCTCGACCCCAGGTCCAGTGGAGGAGGCCATCCCTGGGATGCTGCACAGTGCAGAGCGCAGGATCTTGCCCATGGTTCCAGTGGGGAGTTGGCCCTGGAACCACCAGTGGTCATGGGTAGATCATCAGGGCCGACCATCAGGGCCAAGATTTCTTGGTTCTTCTTTTTCAGGTAGTCACTGAAACAAGAGTGCAGGATCCAATCAGGGAGAAGACATAATTGAGCATGTGAATTATTACTGGGCAAGTTTGTTTTACCTAGCTAACTATTGCCATGGTCTCTTTTAATGGTGGTCTTCAGGTGTATGAAGTTGACATAGCCCCAGGTTGGGCGCCAAGTGTGGGCTAGCTGCGGGGTTATATGGTTCTTTTGGGCTATGCTAGGTACTGTGGCTGGGGTCACTTGCCCTACACATGGGGTACCTTTACTGTGTAGCAGCCACTCTCAGTGATAACCAAACTTTAAGGAAGATCTCCAGCTTAGAGATGATCATACACCGTGTACACTGAACAATGAACTGGAATCTGGTTAACCCTCTGTTCCGGAGTCAGTGTACACCTTGACTGTAACTGTTTGCATTTAGGAGGGACACGCTGAGCTTATGCCCACTCCACCCATCCAGCGTTTCTCTGTTACCTCACTCCCAGTAACAGAATGGGGTCCCACCGTGCAACTATCCTGCACTCCATACATGCACTTAATAACACTTCCTCTTTCGTACCTAGTAGTTGGGCTGAGGACCTCTGCTGTGCTGATCTGTTCCTGTTACTATGGTAGATGCTTCGCTCTGGTAGAGGGGCCAAAGCAAACCCCTCACTGCTATAGGACACTCCGCCTGCCACAGGCACCACTCTGCATAGCAGGCTTCTCATACTGGTTGCTAGACTACCGTTACTCATGGCAGCTACTTGCATTTACTCCGCACTATGTTGACTCTTGCAGAGCTGTCATCATACCCCAGTGTGCTTTATCTGATCCAAGAATAAGTGTGATATGCTGGTAACTTTCATATACCCCTTTGATTAACTTCAGACCATGCATTTAAAATGTTTCAAAGACTACTGAAAAATTTAGCACAAATGAGTAACAGTTAAACAGCTAAAAAGTCTTTCCCTAACTAAACCCTATCTGTAGTTGTAGCTGCCCCAGCATACCTGTACAGGCAAGCGTCCATTCTTGGCAAGTCTATATTGGTGGCACTCCAGGTGCTGGTGCTTTCAGGATACAAATGGAGAAACAGAAAAAGGGCGCACCGACCTAGTGCATTATCATTTAAAATAATTTATTAAGGACACAAAAATAGGTTGGCTCTGAGGAAGAGGTTGTGTCCTCGAAACACGTTAGCCAGTTGGTCATCCTGGGTTCCATCGTATGGACTCAGATGTTGTTTGGATCATACATCTTGTTCAGTTTGACATGCCTGTGTTATTATGTCCATTGTGAGTATGATACCTGTTTTTGTGTCTTTAATAAATTACTTTAAACGATAATGCATTAGGTCGGTGCGCCCTTTTTCTGTTTCTCCATTTGTATCCAGTGTATTCGGACCACCCTGGTCTGTTGAGGGCAGCAAGCAGTGCATATTCCAGAACATTCCTATTGGGTCTACTGAGTCCTTTCCTAGCGCAGGAATAAAGTGTTTGTTGTGCTGGTGCTTTCAGGGCAGACTGCAGGTCCCAGCAGCCCCCTACATGGTGAAGGTTGTAAGGTTCAGCAGCAGACCCCCAAGGCCAAGAGGTTACTATTCCTGAGCTGGCTTACCGGCCCTCTCTCTCTACCCAACTGTGTGTTCTTGGGTCCAGACCCCTGTCCCCTTCTATATAAACACTGAGCCAGAGGGTCGGACCCGAAAAGCCTGTGAAGCCAGACCCAGGAACAGCAGCAAAAAGACATTAACTCCCTCAAACAATCTAACTAACAGTAGGCAACCTGCCTACAAGCTGCCATCTGATTCCAGGGAAAGGGAGAGTAAAGTGAACTGCTTCCTCATCCGTGCAGCATGACGTTATCTCACCCTAGCCAAAGTTACTGATTGGAGCTTAAAGAAGTCTATTTAATTAAAAAATGTGCTGACACTGTATATTGGGACATGCCAGGAATTTATTAATTCAGATCTGTAAAGTTACTGACAGCTCCACTTGAATACATTTGTTTTAGCTTTGATCACAATTGGGTACATTTAGGCTTTGCCACTTAACACGTTCAAAGGAAGGTCATGCTTACTGACAACCCCCTCCTCCAAGAGCTACATTGGCTGGCCTGCCCAATGATAAACAGCCTATGCCCACGGTCGCCAGTGCTTGTGCACCACTGACTCCATTCACTTCAAGAGACAGTCTGTTAGCTATGACCGGAAATTACGTAATTAACCTCCCTGGCGGTATGATTATTTCCGATTTTTTGTGCTGAAAGCGGTACCATTATTTTGCATGGAAATATGTAGTTTTTTTATTGTAGGCTGTAATATTTAGAAATAACTCACTGAAATCTGTCTGAACAAGAGTCTAGTAAACATCCCGGGTATGATAAAACTTGAAACACAAAATCATAAATTATAATTTAATAAATAATCATAAAAAATAATAATATAATAATAATACATTTAATTCAATAATATAATCAAACCAAAAACACTGAAATTTGAAATATAGCGCCAAGTTCGCACATCACTGAGCAAAGTCGCAAAATCGTTTTCAGTGTCTGATGACAAATTTCTCCACGAATCATTATCACTCAATTCTGCAAGTAGTTCTAATTTACTATCGCTGTTCTCTAGCCGGTCTAAAACCGCTTTTGACCTAAAGGGACGCTTTTTGGACGCCATGGACGTTTCTCAGTTTCCAGGCAGAAAGAACAGTGAAAATGCAGGCAGGGCGCAGGACAAAGCACTCGGGACAAAATGTATGTGAAATGGTTTGATACAGGAATGTTTTACTATGTAAAATAAGTTTTGAAAAAAAATTACATTTTTTAAAAATTTTCAAAATTTTATGTCCCGACGTCACAGGGATCTGAACACAGAAGCCGGATGCCGGCATCGGCCGGAGGAGATGGCCGAGGACGCTGCAGGGGACACATCGCGGGAGCGAAGGACAAGGTAAGCGCTGCAGGGACTCCCTATGCAGCGCTGCATGGTAAGCCCGAGTGTAGCTCGGGGTTACCGCTTTTGGTACAGAAACTTTACCCCGAGCTACACTCGGGAATACCACCAAGGAGGATAAGGGAAGATCGACATTTTGTTAGATAATACCAATTTGAAACAATAATTTAATTTCAAAACATAGCACTGCTAGAAACATATCACCTTGCCATAAGTCTGTCTACAGTGCACCAGGTCTTGAGAACAAGGAAGACATCAGGGATCCCTCCAGATGTACACTTGGCTTTCCACAATTGGCTAGGACATTCGGAGTTTGAATAAATAGCTTAAATGTAGAGCTGTTGTCTTCTAGCACATTGTGATCTCCATTGATCACATGAGTGCAGTACAGTGCAGGAATCATCAGTTGTGGCTATTGGTATTGAACACAATTAAAACAAATATTTGAAGCAAATACTTACCTTGTTTCTTGTCTGCAATTACAGTGCAGACTGCAGACAAGCTGAATGCTAGCAAAGCAATGCATTACCTGATAAGGAACTGGTACAATGGCAAGTAATATATATATATATATATATTGCCAAAAGTATTGGCCCCGCCCTCCAAATCATTGGATTCAGGTGTTCCAATCCCCTCCATGGCCACAGGTGTATAAAACCATCACCAAGGCATGCAGGCTGCTTCTACAAACATTTGTGAAAGAATGGGTCGCTCTCAGGAGCTCAGTGACTCCAAGCGTGGTCCCGTGATAGGTGGTCACCTGGGCAATAAGTCCATCCGTGACATTTCCTGGCTACTAAATATTCCACGCTCAACTGTTAGTGGGATTATAACAAAGTGGAAGCAACTGGGAACAACAGCAACTCAGCCACCAAGTGGTAGGCCACGTCACATGACAGAGCGGGGTCAGCGCATGCTGAAGCGCACAGTGCGCAGAAGTCGCCAACTGTCTGCAGAATCAATAGCTAAAGACCTCCAAACTTGGTGTGGCCTTCAGGTGAGCACAACAACAGTGCGTAGAGAGCTTCATGGAATGGGTTTCCATGGCCGAGCAGCTGCATCCAAGCCTTACATCACCAAGTGCATTGCTAAGCGTCAGATGCCGTGGTGTAAAGCACGCCGCCACTGGACTCTAGAGCAGTGGAAACGTGTTCTCTGGAGTGACCAATCACGCTTCTCTGTCTGGCAATCCAATGGACATGTCTGGGTTTGGCGTTTGCTAGGAGAATGCCTGACTGCATTATGCCAAGTGTAAAGTTTGTTGGAGAGAGGATTATGGTGTGGGGTTGTTTTTCAGGGGTTGGGCTTGGCCCCCTAGTTCCAGTGAAGGGAACTCTTAAGGCGTCAGCATACCAAGACATTTTGGCCAATTTCATGCTCCCAACTTTGTGAGAACAGTTCGGGGATGGCCCCTTCCTGTTCCAACATGACTGCCCACCAGTGCACAAAGCAAGGTCCATAAAGACATGGAGTAGCCAGTTTGGGGTGGAGGAACTTGACTGGCCTGCACAGAGTCCTGACCTCAACCCCATGGAACACCTTTGGGATGAATTAGAGTGGAGACTGCGAGCCAGGCCTCCTCCCCCGACATCAGTGCCTGACCTGACAAATGTGCTTCTGGAAGAATGGTCCAACCTTCCCATAGACACCCTCCTAAACCTTGTGGACGGCCTTCCCAGAAGAGTTGAAGCTGTTATAGCTGCAGAGGGCGGGGCCAACTCAATATTGAACCCTACGGACTAAGACTGGGGGGTCATTAAAGGTCATGTGCGTGTAAAGACAGTGTGACGGGAGTCACTTTGGGTGGGCGGACCATGGAACACAGCTCACTTTGGAGAGGTGGGGAGACCCCTGTCTCAGCTCCCCATATCCCTCTTATGTGTAAATCACCCTGTGCCTGTTAGGGGTACAGGGTGATCTGTCCTAATACTGTGTGGGCTTTGTCTCAGACTGTGTAGACATGTTTAGAAGATAGGTGGGGTGGGGGGTTGTTGATTGTTTAATGTTATGTGGCTGCATCCCACTTTTCTATTGGTTGTCTGGCTTGGGAGCAAACTATTATGGGATGTATGTGTTTATGTGTATTAGCTTAGTGGGAGGGGGGTGTCTCCAGCAGCCCTCCCTCCTGATGGGACTGTCTGCTGGTGTGAAGTTTGAAGACCTGTGTGTCTCTTGTTACTAAATGTAGATTGCCCCGCCCTGTGTCATTATGCAGGGAGGGGGGATTGTCCCCTGAGTGTATATATCTTGTGTCTGTGTTCAAATAAACTAGTCTACTTCTGGTTTACTTCAAGACTGATGTCGTCTAGTCTTGTATGGTTGGCTGTGGTGTCTGTTGTCGGTGTTCGGACGAGGAAGTACTCAAGCGCAGTCTGGGTCGGTTCCGTTACAGGCAGACTGACCAATACTTTTGGCAATATAGTGTATATATATATATATATATATATATATATATATATATATAATTTGTTTTTTGGATTTTTTTCGTGTAACAAACACTGTTTCATATAGCTTCCAGGGGCAGACTGACCATCTGGAAACTCGGGCACTGCCCGAGGGCCCGGGGTCAGTAGGGGGCCCCATGAGATGCCCCTGGTACCTTTTTCATAGGCTTTTTTGAGTTTGGGCAAGGACACAGGGGCCCCATGATCCCCTATTGCCCGGGGGCCCCATGAGTTGTCAGTCCGCCCCTGATAGCTTCCTTCTTCACTCACATCATATCATACTGACATGATTGCCTTTGAGTTTTAAAATAATACTACTACCGTAATTTGGGGATGTTTATCCAGCTGAGGTCTCTGTTCAGCATTCTATTTTGCAGTCAACCAAACAGAAATAATATTCTTTCCTAATTTACTATATATGAACTGAAGTACCTGGCTTAAACCACATTCCATCTCTCTTGTATGTTTACATGGAATCCTGCAATTTTACAAGAAGAAATTCTCTGTATTCTAAATTTTGTGCTGCAGAAATAAAAGTGGAAATATAATGGAAGTCACCATGTCAGGACAACAGGAGAGAAGAGATCTTCTTAAAAAAGCTCTGAGGCTTGAACTTGCCTCAAGTGACTATGTCTGGAGAGACCATCAGAAGAATCTAAACTTCCTGGACATTTCTAGGTTAGAATGTTTTATGCTCACATATGTTTTCCCATTTTGCAGAGGTTCTTGAATAGTGCAAATGAGGACCCCTTGAAAGAAGCAGCTGCTACTTGATAACGATCGCCTGCAGGGAAAACAATTTTATTTCCATATCTAGAGAGGCTGTCTGAGAACATTGTAGTCATGAAACTTCTCTGGGAAGTTAATTACAGATAATTGTCAGTCGTATAGTGAGAACCTCTACACTCATACTTATCTAAAGTAAAGAATCCTTGACTTGAATCTGCAATTTGGTTTTACATACATGGATCAGAAAAGAAAAAAAATAAGGGCCTGTGGCTTGAAGTTAATTCTATGCTTCTTTAGGGTCCCAAATGCAAACCAACCATTACACATAATGCCTTTTTGTCTAACAGTAAAGATCCCCTCAATCAACAGTAAGAAACTTGCTTTCACCTAAAAATGATGGGCACATACACTGGGGGCCAGCCTTGTAATCTCACTGGGCAGCTGTAGTAATGTTCCAAAAGGCAATGCATGGCAAGACTTCAGTATAAAATTTAAGAGAACAAAGAAAAGAAAGAAAAAAGAGAGGAGCTGGATTTGAAGGTCGGAAATCTTCAAATGCAGGTTGGTTCTTGTTATGGATCACAAAATGCTAAGTAGAGGGACAGTCCTCTGGAGTAAGCAGACATCATCCATTGACCGCTGTGCTGCCCATTCCAAGACGGATGTTCTACATCCACCTACCATACCTCATAACCTAAGTGCCATGAGGTGGATATATTAATGCGCATACCCTATACGCATCTGGTAAGTGCGCAGTCCTATCATTTCTTCAAAGCATTAGTATACTGATATTTGCTCACTTCTGGATTCATCTCACTATATACTCAGAGACTTATTGGCATTTGGATTTTATTGTGATTATATTTATTTAGTGGGAAGGAAGTGTCCAAAGCATTTTGGCAGTCAAAGAATCACCCTTCATCTGGGCTCAAACTTGTAAAGGTTGTTAGAGATCCAATATGGTGGTATAGCCTCCTGGACAAATATCTCAAAGACAACACGAGAGCGAGAGTGCAGAGCTTAATGGCTCTGCAGTGACAATGTGCTATCAATCAGAGAGGTTATACCACACTGAAACTCAAACAACCAAGCCTAAGCCTTGATGAAAGGAAACTCTTTGGCCTCCAAAACACATTGGTTACGTTCTTATTTTTTTTTTTTCTTATTTTCATGGATGCTGAGCTTGTCCGCTGTGAATAGAAGTATTTATTTTCTACGAGAGGCTTTCAAGTCAAACCAGAACTTTTGAGTTTATTAATTAAAAAAAAAGTGGAAGCTGCATTTATTTTTCAACATAGTCCCCTGCTACACTTATCCCAGTGTTTCACTAATTCCGGGACAGCTTCGGCATAGAAAGATTTATCAGTACACTAAACCATCCTAAGAAAGCCTGCTTCACTTCATCATCACTGTGTTCACAGTTCCCACAGAAAAAATTGTCTCTTGTGAAGATTCACAACAGGTTATGCGTCGATTATCTAGGATTATCTAGGATCAGGCATTCCACATGCTGAATATTCACAGGAATGACTGCTGTGGGCTGGGAACCACCACGGCTGGGATCATCACTGACAGCCATCTTTGAAAAGTTTACACAATTCAAATGTCTTACTGCGGTTGAGCGTCTCATCACCGTACTGTGCTTGAAGTCTTCTGTAGATATCTATGGGTTTTATGCCTTCGTTCAGAAGAAACTTCATCACCCTATGCTGTTCCATGCACTCACTAACACTGTTGTCTAAAGAAAATCCTCTTGCGCTTGAAATAGAGCCCTAACCCTAAAAAAGCTGCTGACACTAACCTTATTACCTATTGAAGGTGAAGTGACTAATTAATACAAAAAAAGTGCAGCGCTAAATAGATATACAATATCTAAAAATAATAATAATAATAATAAACAGTGTAGTGACACACTCAATCCCCTTAAAAATACTCAGATAAAGGGGATAACACACAAAAATTGTGCAACACGTGACTTCCCACTAAGGGAATATAACAAGTGCAAGTGATAAATGCTCCAATCGTGATTCAAAAAAATTCCACAGTGACTCTCAAAACTTAATATAAACTTAAAAATACAGTCCACACACAGTGCATATATATACACTATATCCAATCTAATGAGAGTGCTTCCATTCAATGATCATGCAAGTGACTGTGTAAAATTCATGTTCAATCCTCCAGTGGCCTAAGTGGCCCCTCACCTCATATACTCGACCCTACAGGATCAGCTCGCTCAAAAGATCACAGCAATCCTGATAAGGGCAGATTCATCACAGGCTCCCCTCAAGGGAAAAAACGCTCCTTATTCCAAGCCTCCATGTAGTATAGTAATATTCTCCTCGGATCATAGATAGACACAAAAAGATGTAACTCCTTCTTGTGTACAGCTTCGTATCACCTCATGTTAGAGGTGTACTCCATGGGTATCCAAAAAGGTGTTCCAATATGGCCCCCACGCCGGAAGTGACGTCACCGCGCACCCGGAACTTCCTCGCGTATCGACGCGTTACGTCACGTTATCACGTGACTTCCTCAGGGTATCACTGTTGTCTGCCATCTTGATTAAGGGTCTCTGGACTGGAATGGACTGTGACATGTGCACCGCCTATCAGTAATAGGACACACTGGCCACTTACTTACCACGCTAGTATCCCTTTTTATACCTGTAAAATTAAAAGCCCCGGTTTGACTTGAACGCGCCTCATATTTTGGAATATGAGTTTTCCTAAGCAAAAACTAGGGTCAAATATGGATTTAAAAATATAATATAAAATGTACTGTATATATATATATATATACACAAAGTTTTTCAAAAAGTTTCACTCTTTTTTTAACATGTATAAAAGTGCGGAAACTTTTTGAAGACCCCCACAAAATACAGGTGCATCTCAATAAATCAGAATATCATCAAAAAGTTAATTTGTTTCAGTAATTCAATTAAAAAAGTGAAACTCATAAAT